AGCTGCTTTTAGCTCCTGTTCAGCTGCTTTTAGCTCCTGTTCAGCTGTTTTAGATTCCCATACACCTTTCAGATCCTCGGTGTTTGCTGTTTCTGGACCTGAGGTTCTGGTTCTGGTCAGGTGATCTGATTTAATCAGCTCTGATTGGACGCCTTCAGGTTTGGCTCACCTTGATGAGCAGCGGGTTCTTCAGCATTGACTCTCTGACCACGCCCAGTCTTGGTGACGTCATGTCTCCTGGAAGAGGTGAGAAGGCGGCAGCTGACGTTGATCTTTACTTTAGTAATTATTACAAATATAATTAAACACTGAACATGACCGGCAGCTCGTTTCTGTGTGAGTGTTAGCAAAAGATCTCACGAACCAGTGGACAGAAAGTAACCGCCACAGCTGGACGTGATTCAAAATGGCCGCCGCAGCTGATTCACGGTCACTGAAAACCTGAGGTTCGGTGTTTGTGATGTTTCTTAAATTTTAAATAAAGTTTAAATGAAAAAAATACGCCGCGTTTTAACAGAGACGCATAAAAACTCACCTGAGGTCATCTTCGGTTTCAAACCTGGCGGTTTCTATGGCAACCAGACGCCGAGCGCAACAACGGAAGCCCGCTGGGTCAAGAAGGGTGGAACAAACTGCCGTTTTGCCGTGATTTTAATAACGTCACGAACAGACAATAAAATAATCTTTAATTTTTGTTGTTGGCTTAACGAGAAGTTTGGAGAAAAATTAATGAACTTAATATTAAAAAAATAACTTAAAAATGGCTGCAAAGAAAAAAAAAACTTGGTTTGATGTCATAAGGTAATTTTAATGGTTTTAATCATATCGACATTTTCTCTCAGTATCCCTGCAAAAATAATTGATCATGTTTTGTTTTTGTCTCTAGTGGGTCTAAATATTCCTACCACTGTGGTGTAAAAAATAAATACTCACTTCGGTGTTTTTTTGAGTCAAAACTATAAAGAGTCTACAGGAACCACAGATATATCGCCTGTTCAAACATGAAGCAGGTTTACTTGTGGTTCCTAGAGTTTCCAGCAGCAGAATGTGAGGAAGATCTTTCAGTTCTCAGGCTCCTCTCTTGTGGAACCAACTTCCAGTTTCTGTCCATGAGGCTGACACATTGTCCAGTTTAAGACTGGGATTAAGACTTTCCTTTTTGATAAATCCTATAGTTAGGGTCGTCTTGTTATGCTGCTATAGACTTAGACTACTAGAGGACAAACTGACCTCATGTTCTTAAATGAATTGTTAAAATTCAATAGTTTTCATTTGATACTATTTCTATCTTAACATGTGATTCTTGACCTGCCATTGTGTATCTATTCCTACCAAACCCAGCCGGTTGAAGCAGATGGTCCTCTTGTCCTGATCCTGGTTCTGCTAAAGGTTTCTTCCTCATGAGGGAGTTTTTCTTTCCACTGTCGCCTTCATGCTTGTTCAAGATGAGAGTTCAGTGATGGAGTTAAACTCAAAGCTGCTCCTCAGATAAATAATGTTAATTATTATTTTATAGATGAATGTTTCTGTTTAATTATTATTTTATACATGAATGTTTCTGTTCAATTATTATTTTATAGATGAATGTTTCTGTTCAATTATTATTTTATATTTGAATGTTTCTGTTCAATTATTATTTTATAGATGAATGTTTCTGTTCAATTATTATTTTATAGATGAATGTTTCTGTTCAATTATTATTTTATACATGAATGTTTCTGTTCAATTATTATTTATAGATGAATGTTTCTGTTCAATTATTATTTATAGATGAATGTTTCTGTTAAATTATTATTTTATAGATGAATGTTTCTGTTCAATTATTATTTTATTGATGAATGTTTCTGTTCAATTATTATTTTATACATGAATGTTTCTATTCAATTATTATTTTATACATGAATGTTTCTGTTAATTATTATTTTATAGATGAATGTTTCTGTTCAATTATTATTTTATTGATGAATGTTTCTATTCAATTATTATTTTATAGATGAATGTTTCTGTTCAATTATTATTTTATTGATGAATGTTTCTGTTCAATTATTATTTTATATTTGAATGTTTCTGTTCAATTATTATTTTATAGATGAATGTTTCTGTTCAATTATTATTTTATTGATTAATGTTTCTGTTCAGCCCTGAGATGATTCTGTTGTGACTTGGAGCTGAAGAAATAAACTGAACTGAATCGATTTGGTCCAATGTACAGAAAGTGATTTAGCTGGAATCAGTTCCGGTTTGGGCCTCCAGAGGGCAGCAGATGCCACGAGACGTTCACTTACCGTAGGAAGAAAACGAATTCGTGTTTGCCTGTTCAGTTTGTTTGAAACACTAATTTCCGAGTTTTGTGAACGCAGCGTGACGTCAGTCCACGCGTCAAGTTCCTCTTCTGTTTCTTTAATTTCGTTGAAAAAGATCGTTTATTCACGAATATGAGTGACTACTACCTTGAAATCCTGACGCCACGAAAAATAAAAAATGTAACGTAAAGGTTTCTTGTTGATAGTAGATAAACTTATTCAATTGTTATTTCTATTTTTTTATCATTTATTTTTAGCAACCAACGATCAATTGAAACCGATATAAATGTACTTAGTTAGTTGATAGTTGTCTTAATTAAAAAAAAAATTGTATGGCTCTCATATGTTTGTCTGTTGTTGTCTTGCTGTGTATTGTTGTCATCATTCTTTGTTGAAATCAGGTCTCTCTTGTAAATGAGTCCTCGAAGATTAACCTGTAGAAATAACGGTTCAATGAGAGAGAGAAAAAGAAGAAGCCGTTTTTGGCTCCTGGAAAATGCTGCAGAGTGACTCATCTCGCAGTTCTCCTCTCTGAACACAAGCTACGTGCCACTGCGCTCATGTCTCCCCAGCACCATCGCCTCCTTTTAGGCAAATATCCTCCGGTTCTCTGACCGCCTGCTCTCGGTGTGTCTCACCCCGGAAGGTACGGATGTTTCGGCTGTGGTTCCAAGCCGCGGCCGTCCTTTGGTTCGCCCGCGGCTCTGTGGGGGTCTCAGCCCGGCTGTACACGGAGGAGGACCCGCTGGTGATCCTGAGCGGCGGCAGCCTGAAGCCGACAGTCATTAACTCCTCCTCGGCCTGGTTGGTCCAGTTTTACTCGTCCTGGTGCGGACACTGCATCCAGTACTCCAGCACATGGAAGGCGCTGGCACAGGATGTGAAAGGTACCGCTGCTCGGTTCGGCTCAAGTCCCTTACTTTTTCTTTGTAAGCAGCCCCACCAGTCTCCATTTAAAATATGAAAGTTTTAAACCCTTTCAATGGCAGTTAAAACCACAGTCAACCTTTGACCTCAGTTCTGTTAGTCCAGATTATTTTGGACCTCCCTGTCAGTTCGGGGTAAATATGAACTAAATTCAACTTTTATTCCCGTTGAGTGAAGACTTTTCTCCGTGCAGTTCGGGCAGGATGTTTCCTTTTGTAGTGAAGGCGAGCAGCTTTAAATGGACGTTTTTTCTACGAAGTTCTGAATGAGCCCGTGGCTGATGTTCAAGCTTTGAGCCACAGTTAGCAACATGCTAACACTCAACAGATGTTAGCTCAGGGAGGCTAACAGCTAGCATGCTAACAGGTGGTCAGAACCCGAACACCGGGACCACCGACCCGGATCAGAGTCTTGCTGGGTCAGAACCCACACCAAGCCTATCAGATTATAGATTTATAAAAGTTCACCTCAGTTTGATTTGAAGGAACGAACAGAAAAAGATGCTTTGGATGATCAGATATTCATTAATAATAATTATTTTAAAGGTGCACAAAATGTTTAGAGCATTTTAATTTGAATGTTGCCTCTCAGTCTGTTTGAAACCGTCCGAACCTTCCTACACCAGGACGGACTTTAAGCTGATTTAGTAGCTGAATATTTTCACCAGCTAATGTGCTAATTCTTGTAGCTTGTTGTGAACATTTGGCTTAAGAGAGTCGGCTGTTCGTCCTTATCCACCGAACAAAATGTCTTTGAACCGTAAGACTGATGGTGGGAAACCGCACACCTGCCCGTCCAGATGTTTTACACGTTTGAGCACGTTACACAACCAGAACCTCAAGGTCCATCTGTCCCCATCTGAGTCTCTGGGGAATCAGACCACCAGCACCAGCTGCTGTCCACAGACACAGGGTGTCGAGGTCAGAGGTCACGTGGGACACAGAGACGTCTTCTGTGTGAACACGGACCGACTCCCAGAACAAAGTTCTGCTGTCGAGCAACGATGATGATGATGATGAGGATCAGGATCGTTTTCACGGGAATTTATTTTACGTCTCATCACATGTTCAAAACAAACTCATTATTTTAACACGAGAACAAACTGCAGCGGTTCTGATCCAAACAGAGAACTCTTGTGTGGTTCTGACCAAAGTCTGGGTCCAGTCTTGATCAGTCTGGACTGAACCGGAGCCAAAACCAGACGGAATCCTGATGAAAGTTCAGGAGAACCGTTGATCCAGAATCTTTTTAAACTCCAGGAACGTCTGGGTCCCAGGGGGACCGTGAATAAATGTGAACTGGGTCAGGAGTTCTGGTGAGGACGGCCTGAGCAGGAGGTTCTGTCAGTAAAAGTTCTGTTTGTTTGTCAGAGTGGCAGGAGGCCATCGGTGTGGCCGTGTTGGACTGCGCCCAGGAGGAGAACTTCGATGTCTGCAAAGACTTCAGCATCAAGTTCTACCCCACCTTCAAGGTACCAACCCCTCACCAGTCTGTCTGTCTCACCTGTCTGTCTCTCACCTGTCTGTCTGACTGTCGGTCTGTCTTACCTGTCTGTCTGTCTGTCTCACCAGTCTGTCTGTCTCACCCGTCTGTCTCTCACCTGTCTGTCTGACTGTTGGTCTGTCTTACCTATCTGTCTCACCCGTCTGTCTGACTGTCTGTCTGTCTCTCACCTGTCTGTCTGACTATTGGTCTGTCTTA